TTCGGGGAGTGCCAGACGAGGGCAGAAGCTGAGGGTCAGCAGCGGAGAACCCGCCCCTTCATCAAGCCCCGCCCCGCTCCAGGCGCTCTGCTCTGACCCCGCCCACACACGAATCCTTTCGTTTTGGCCCCGCCCCGTCGGCGGACACGCCCTCGGCCTTGGCCCGGCTCCCTGCTCTCGGGCAAGTCGTTCCTGGCCCCGCCCCTTCCGGCCTGCCCTCGCGCCCCGCCTCTCGTTCTGGCCCCACCCCCCCAGCCGCTCCGCCGGCTTCCTTTTGCTACCGCGCGCGCGAGCGACTCCGGGTCCCGGCTGTCAGGCTCTCGAGCCTCTCCAAGCTCTGGGGAGGGCTTGTGGCGGGCGCCGGAGCACCCCGAGAGCCCTGCCGCGTCGAGGACATCGCTGAGGTCCTCCGCTTCCCCCAGCCTTCTAGCTGAGGCCCCAAACCAGAGTGAGGGAAGGAGCGGCACCGTGCGCGGCATGGCGACCCCGGACGCGGCGCCGCCGGGGGCTGAGGGCGCGGGGCCCGCGCCCTGGGCGCAGCTGGAGGTCCCCGCCCGGCTCCTGCTGCGGGCGCTGCAGGCGGGGCCCGAGGGGGCGCGGCGCGGCCTCGGGGTGCTGCGGGCGCTGGGCAGCCGCGGCGGGGAGCCCTTCTGCTGGGGCCGCTTCCTCGAGACGCTGTGCCGGGAGGAGCCGGTCGTGCAGGGGCCCGACGGCCGCCTGGAGCTGTAAGTCCTCCGCTCGCGGGCCCTCAGCGTCACGGAAGGCAGGGGCTGTCGCTGCCTACCCTCTGTCATGAACAGGTCTAGTAATTCCGCTCGGCGAGGGGGCCCTGCCGCGCACCCTATGAGGAGGGGCACTCTTCATCGATCACCTGCTGTGTGCGGGGCAGTGCGGGACACTGAGAATACGAAGACTTAAGACATGCCTTCTCTTAGGCGCCAATAAGTGCAGTAGTTATAAGCAGAGTCAGATCAATTTTAATCACATATTTCCATCTCTAAAAAAGCCGGACATGTATGTAAAGTGTACACATGTGTTAAAATACTAAAGTAAACGAAAATAGATATTTAAAGTGTGATAAATGATGGAATAAACAGCTCATTGTAGTGGCTTTATGCTATCAACTCTCCAAAGCATAATGATCACTTTAAGGCAAGATCACTTTCCATAAGGATGGTGACTGTGAATTCATATTTTAATGTTCTTGAGAATTTCTAGCTTTGGATGACATTGAACTTTTTTTGGTATCTTTTTATGTGGCTGACAATTCCTACTAGGTGCAGAAGTGTGGGGTCTACTATTTTCTTATTTGGTTGCCCTTCTATTGTTGGTATTATCGTCAGTCTTCGGTTTCTTTGTGGGCATCCTTTTAAGCCATGTGTCCATTTTGTGAGGATTTCTCTTGTTAAAAAATATAATACAATCTCAAATGCATATAACTAGCAAAGCTAATTAAAATACACAG